TATATAGCACTGCAGGGAACATATTAGCTAAAGAAAAAACTAAATCAATATGTATCAAAATTTTGTGGATTTTATTTTAAAATCTCTATTATATAAATGACTATTTCAGATCATTTACAGCCTACAGGAAAGGTGCAGATCACTGGAGACATTTTTCAGTTCACTCTTGATGTGAGTGAATTTTCTCCAGAGGATGTCATCATTACATCCTCCAACAACCTAATAGAGGTGCATGCAGAGAAGGTGAGCCCTGCAGTCAGGCTGGTGTAAAATCAGATGTTATCTGTGACAGTAACTTAACTGATGGCCTGAGTTATATTATTAAGTTATATTATTCATTTATTTAAATGAAATTAAAGCAATGCACTGGCTTTAGTTGTTTGATTGTGTGTTAAATTTTAGAACTATTTGTCTTCTTTTGTTGTGAAACAATACACTTTTGATTCAGGACCTGAAATTTGGATTTATATCTTTTGCTGTCTCTATGGTGTTTTCTTTGAATTTGATGGCTTGATGGTTTCATTGATGGTTTAACTTTCTGCTTTGTTCTGTTCTCATAACCTGTTTTTGCCGTGCAGCTGGGTGAAGATGGAACAGTCACAAATACTTTTTCCCACCAGTGCAAACTGCCATCTGATGTGGACCCCATATCTTTGAGCATGTCCATGGCGAGCGGTGGGCTCCTGACTGTCAGGGCTCACAGAGTGTGTTAGTGTATAATTTCTGTGCATTTCAATTAAAACACATCAAGCCTCGTTTTATTTGAACTGTCTTCTTTGCTCCGTTGTATTTTGCCTGCTGTAACCTCAACATTAAGTGACTTACAAATAGAGTTCGATGGAGTTTAGCGACCTCAAGTGTCCGGGGGAAGGACTGGGGGAAAGTTTTTTTTTAGAATGTAACATTTATTTTCAAATGGGAAGGAAATATACCGAAACATATAGTTGTTGAAATAAACGCATATAAGAGTAAGTAACCTTTATCATATTAAAAAAATATCAACTGTAAAATATCCAACAAAAAACTACGTTGAATTATTTCATCTACAACGGAATAAAGCAAATAAAAGAAGTAGTAAAGAGTATTTACGAGTAAACCTGAAGGCAACACCACAATTTGAGGGAAGTGACGACATAGGTTGTCAAGGGACGCTTTAGTTTACGGAAGTTTTTACATTTTGCGGACAGCGGTTGTTATAATTTATATTTATGGGTTTTTGTGATTGATGTGGATGCTTTAAATGTTTTATTACTGCAGTTCAAGTCTGTAACAAGACAACGTTTAAAAAAATATCCTCTGGCCCAGACGGGAACCGACTTTTGGCCTTTTTAAGCGACAAACCCGAGCTCTGTGTGATGCTGTAGCTTTGTAACCGACATGGCAAAGGTTCCTCCCCCAGGATCAGTCGTAGTCGCAGACTGGCATCGATATAAAGACAGTAAAGAGTATTTCAGCAAAATCCTCCACAAGAAGAGACGGAGAAACTTTGGTAATGTCAGCTAAATAGATATGTTTCCAAATGACAACAGTTTTGTCTTTTTTATCTCCCCCAGGGGACCTTACGCACTCATATGTAAAGAAAAAAAGTATAAGTATTCAGAAATACCACAAATTCTTTTTGCAGCTGATTTATTGCGACTGAGACTACTTGAAGTGCAGCCACTCATCAGACAAATGCAAAAACGTTTGTAGGCAGTATCTGTTTCACTGGAAATCAGCTATAAAAAGTAGCTAGCGAATAAATGTGCATTTATTTCAAACCTCAACATTATAAGGGTTTTTATGAAGTACAAACTCCCTATTTGTTGTTGTTTGTGGAGGATAAAAACCCAGAATAATTTATAAATAGATTAAAGCAACCCACGAGGCTGTAAAATATTGGATTAAAACATATTGGGGACGATATTTTTAGCTGCACCATTTCTCGGTGAACAATCAGCTGCGGCAAATTGGCGGTTTTATGCATACATTGCTAAGTAGGCACCAGTGTGACAGAGTGAAATATGAACCATGGACAGTAGGGGTACCTATGAGGACAGAGACAGCCACAAGCCTTAAGGTGGGACTGGGATCACATCAGGGAAAGTCTCTGGGCCCCTTCCTGTTTGCAGTTGTGATGGACAGACGGAGTCTCTGTGGATTATGATGCTTGCAGATTACAAGATACACTTGGGGTGTGCTGAGAAGACATGGCAGCATTTTAAATCATGGATTTATGACACGCAAGGAGATAAACAGGGGAGAGAATGATGCCATAGTGGCATCTTTAGTTTAGTTTACTAAGATCTCCATTAGCTGCAGCATTGCTATTCTTCCTGGGGTCACTTGTGATAGAAATGCCAAAATCTGGCCACACGTAGCACAAGTAGTCGGGGACATGCTCCACCCTTTGGTTTGGTTTGAAAGTTCTTCTTGATGTCCATAGATGACCAAAAGTGCTGGACTTTCCTCCACGGTCACTCACTGGATGTTAATGGGGTGCTTTTAAAGACAAATTCTATTAACCCTATATCATATTCTATTATCCTGACTCAGGTGTGCAATTTCTTTCAGTGGTCCTTTTAAAATGTGTTTTTCAGGCCTTTTGGAGTCTCCAGTGATGCCTCCACATGTAGCTGTGGACACAGTTCATTATAAGATCTTCATCTCTGGTAAGAGCGGAGTTGGGAAAACTGCTATTGCTGCACGTCTTGCAGGCATGAATATTCCCAGCATGCACCATGAAACCACAGGTAAGCCATTCACACTGCTGGTGGAAAAACACAGATTTTTAACTAGATTACGTAGAACTAAGTGTGAGCCTTGTTTTTAAAAGTAGTTTACAAAGTTTCAAAAAGTTAAGAGGCTGACAATGTCACTAATATTCTTTGTCATCTTTTGTTGCTTAAGGCATTGAGACAACAGTGGTGTATTGGCCAGTGAAGCTAAAAGAAAGCAGCAGAGTGCTTTTCTTCCGTTTTCAGCTGTGGGACTGTGGAGAGAACGCCTTACGCAGATTTGACCATTTGCTTCCAGTATGAATGAGATAAAGCAAAGACTAAAACAATTATTCTAGATGTGGAAAACAAACAGATTTCTGTGTTTTGTCTGATCTCCTTTCTCTCTTCCAGTCCTGCAAGGAGCAAGTGGATGCGGTCCTCTTACTATTCTCCTTCACAGACAGGACATCATTTGATGATCTGCCAAATCAGCTCGCCAAATGGTCCGAGCCATCTGTCAGGCGTGTTGTGAAAATGGTGGTTGGCACCAAGTATCCTTTTATCTTCCTTACAAATAGTTGGAAATGCCAATCAGAAGTAATCATCCACTTTTCTATGGGATCATCTGTGGTTCTACAAGACCAGGAGGCACAACTTTGAAGTGCCAAAACCCCCCCCAAAAAACTAAGATGAGTCTGTGGCACAAACACACTCTTTACATAAACATATCCTTAATGTTTCCTTCAGATTCGACCTTTTCATGCACTGTGATGTGGCAGAGAGAGATATAAGGGACTTCCAGGAGACATGGGGTATCCCGGTACTGCGTACAGGCGGGGAGGTCACAGACGGGCTGGGCGACGTAGCCTCGCTCCTCAACTGCCTTGCAGAAAACCTGTGGCATCAGGACTGCGTTACAGCTGGCTCAGCCAGCCACCATTCGCAGGAGACAGTGACTCTGCTTTAAAAATGAACGTTGTTTTAAACAGCCTGGACTGAACCAGAGATGAGGGTGCTCACCTCTGAATGGGGCTCATGTTGAGATGATGATACTACATTACTTGGCTCCAAATTATGTATTCTAAACCCTCCCCCCCCCAAAAAAAAACCCCCAGTAATACTTAATAAAAATAAAATCCAATACTAAAAAAACTGAAAAGAAAGTTTTGGATTATTAATATCACCTCAAAACATCTTTTGGTGACAGGATATACAGGGAGTGCAGAATTATTAGGCAAATGAGTATTTTGTCCACATCATCCTCTTCATGCATGTTGTCTTACTCCAAGCTGTATAGGCTCGAAAGCCTACTACCAATTAAGCATATTAGGTGATGTGCATCTCTGTAATGAGAAGGGGTGTGGTCTAATGACATCAACACCCTATATCAGGTGTGCATAATTATTAGGCAACGTCCTTTCCTTTGGCAAAATGGGTCAAAAGAAGGACTTGACAGGCTCAGAAAAGTCAAAAATAGTGAGATATCTTGCAGAGGGATGCAGCAGTCTCAAAATTGCAAAGCTTCTGAAGCGTGATCATCGAACAATCAAGCGTTTCATTCAAAATTAGGTAAAGGCTGCATTTATAGCGCTTTACTAGTCCTAAGGACCCCAAAGCGCTTTACACTACATTCAGTCATTCACCCATTCACACACACATTCACACACTGGTGATGGCAAGCTACATTGTAGCCACAGCTGCCCTGGGGCGCACTGACAGAGGCGAGGCTGCCGGACACTGGCGCCACCGGGCCCTCTGACCACCACCAGTAGGCAAACGTTTGCCCATCTTAGCATATTTGGCATGCAGCCAGGAGCCTGGGATCGAACCACCAACCTTCTGATTAGTGGCTGACCTGCTCTGCCACCTGAGCTACAGCCACCTGCTTCTTTGTGCCGCACCACTGGTTTGATGTGTGATGCCAATGCCGCTGAAACTGAAAGTTG